AATAGAGACTTGGAGTGGCTAAGTCATTATGCAAGGTAACTTATTTCCCCTTGTTTTTTCCTACCCCCCCCCCCCCCAGAAGTTCTTGTTAAACCCTGGATTTGTGCTGGAAATGGCCCACCTTGATTATCATACACACTGTAAGGAGAGTGGTCACTTTAGATAAGCTATGACCAGCAGGAGAGTGGGTTTGTGTGTGTGGGGTGTGTGTGTGAGAAAACCTGGATTTGTGCTAGAAATGGCCCAACTTGATTATCATACACATTGTAAGGAGAGTGGTCACTTTAGATAAGCTATTAGCAGCAGGAGTGTGGGGTGGGAGAAGGTATTTTTTCATGCTTTTTGTGTATATAAAAAGATCTTCTACACTTTCCACAGTATGCATCCGATGAAGTGAGCTGTAGCTCACGAAAGCTTATGCTCAAATAAATTGGTTAGTCTCTAAGGTGCCACAAGTACTCCTTTACTTGATGCGCAGTAACAAAAAGAAACTGAACATTAATCATTTGGCAGAAATTATACTCAGATCTGCAGTAAGAAAGAAAACAAAAATCCTTTCTGCACCTATGATGTTTCCTCCCATATGCCATGTTTATCATAATGAATTATATACAAAACTAAAAGAGTAGGACAGAGGAACCCACTGGATAGTTTTGGGAATTAGCAGCAGGCTCTATTGGATAACAGTCTCTTTAAAAGGGTAACCAGCAGTGGCTAACAGAGGTTGGAGGAGAGGAAGGCCTGTTGGAGAGTGGAAATATGTGTTTCCTAGGATGAAGGTAAGGGAAGGTATAAAAGTATAAGACACCTATCATCATCATACCTGAGCACCTGACAATCTTTTTATTGTGTTTCACAGCCCCTCTGTGAGGTAGGGAAGTGCTTTTCCCACTCTTTTACAGATCGGGTACTGAGGCAAAGAGAGACTAAGGCCATGTCTACACTACCACTTATGCCAGAAAAACTAATGTTGCTCAAGGATGTGAAAAACCCACACACCATAAGTGGTAGTTTACAGCACTGTGTCAGTGGGAGAGTGTCTCCTGCTGACATAGCTACCACTGTTCATTGAGGTGGTTTTAGCATGTCGTCGGGAGAGCTCTATGCTATCGGCATAGAGCAGCTTTACAAGAGATCTTATAGTGGTGCAGCTGCATCGGTACAGCTGTGCCGCTCTAAGCTAGGTAACAGGCCCAAGGTCTCACAGGAATTCTGTGGTGGAGGACAGAATTGTACCCAGGTCCCAAGCTAGTTCCTTCACCACTGGGTCATCCTTTTTCTCCACAGAGGTACAACAGTCACTTATAGTCTCCTCTATCTCCCATTTTCAATGAGAGTTAGAAAGATGAATGTGTCTTTAAATAGCTTTTTGAATCTTGTGTCTAAATGAACTGAAAATTATATTAAGTACTGACAGAAGTTCATATTGATTCTTACTTCATCCCAGATGGTTTGATCATTCGTAGATGAAGACTTCATTTTATGTGAATAGTTTAGTACATGGATAAGTTTTAGTCATCTTCAGACATCTACACAGCTTTGTACATGTCTCTGACATACCACTCTGAAACAGAGGAATAAATTTCTTCTTATATTGTAGGATAATGAATAGTAGAATGTGAAATATGCAAGTAGGAAGCAAATTGCATAGAGGCCAGTTTCAAATATATAAAAAGAGTCTAATCACATGTGATTTTTTTGTCTTCTGCATGTACAACAAAAATGCTTGCCAGTACTTGTCATGCACTACCATGTATATAAAATGCCCATGTACAGTACTCATCTGCTGAATCATATGAAAAACCTACAGGACCAGGCAAGTTTAAAAAAAAAAAGAAAAAGAAAAGACTCTTTAGTTAGTTGGGACATGTTATATAAAGCCGAGTTCCTGCTTCTGAAAATGTAGAGACTCTGAAATAGATTTCTCACTTTTATTTAATATCTTAAAATCTCAACACAAACACCTATGATTAATATTTTTATTGTTCTTTTCTGCTTTGAAAACTGTGCTCTAGTTTTTTATTACAGAGAACATATTTCATCTCCAAGTTAGACTGCAAATTAATCCTTAAAATGCAAATAGAACAGAAACCTTTCAGAAAGATCCTTGACAATACTTTGGAATCCAGTCCAGGAAAAAGAAACGTGTATGTTTGACTGCACTGCAGAATTTTATAAAAATGGCTAAATAGTTTTGTATGAATATTTTTATATTTTGCTTTAATATTTTATTTTTATGACAGATTAATCTGTTTATAGGAATACAGAATCTGAATTCTCTATTTAGATAGAAAGCATAGCTGATTTAAGTTTGATTTAAAAGCTGATATTCCCCTTTACTTAGTTATTTAGTGAATAGGGCTGTCAAGCGATTAAAAATATTAATTCTGATTAATTGAATGATTAATCACATTGTTAAAGAATAATAGAATACTATTTATTTAATTTTTTTTGATGTTTTCTACATTTTCAAATATATTGATTTCAATTACCACATAGAATACAAAGTGTAGAGTGCTCACTTTATATTATTATTTTTATTACAAATATTTGCATAGAGAAAACAAAAGAAATAGTATTTTTCAATTCACCTAATGCAAATAATGTACTGTAATCTCTTTATCATGAAAGTTTAACTTACAAATATAGAATTATGTACAAAAACTAACCACGCTCAAAAAATAAAACAATGTAAAACTTTAGAGCCTACAAGTCCACTCAGTACTACTTCTTGTTCAGCCAATTGCTCAGACAAACAAGTTTGTTTACTTTTGCAGGAAATAATGCTGCCCGCTCCTTGTTTACAATGTCACCTGAAAGTGAGAACAGGTGTTTGCATGGCACTGTTGTAGTAGATGGCGTCACAAGATATTTACCTTCCAGATGAGCTAAAGATTCATATGTCCCTTCATGCTTCAACCACCATTCCAGAGGACATGTGTCCATGCCGATGACGGGCTTTGCTCGATAATGATCCAAAGTAGTGTGGACTGACGCATATTCATTTTCATTGTGTGAGTCAGTTGCCACCAGTAGAAGGTTGATTTTCTTTTTTGGTGGTTCAGTTCTGTAGTTTCCACATTGGAGTGTTGCTCTTTCAAGACTTCTGAAAGCATGCACCACACCTCATCTCTCTCAGATTTTGGAAGGCACTTCAGATTCTTAAACCTTGGGTCAAGTTCTGTAGCTATCTTTAGAAATCTCACACTGTTTGGCAAATCTGTAGTGAAAGTGTTCTTAAAATGAACAACATGTGCTGGGTCATCATCCAAGATTGCTATAATATGAGATATATGGCAGAATGCAGGTAAAATAGAGCAGGAGGCATACAATTCTTCCCCAAGGAGTTCAGTCACAAATTTAATTAACATTTTTTTTTAACAAGCGTCGTCAGCATGGACACATGTCCTCTGGAATGATCGCTGAAGCATGAAAGGGCATATGAATGTTTAGCATATCTGGCATGTAAATACCTTGCAAGGCTGGCTACAAAAGTGCCATGAAAATGTCCGTTCTCACTTTCAGGTGACATTATAAATAAGAAGCGGGCAGCATTATGTTCTGTAAATGTAAACAAAGTTGTTTGTCTTAGTGATTGGCTGAACAAGAAGTAGGACTGAGTGGACTTTTAGGCTCTAAAGTTTTACATTGTTTTGTTTTTTGAGTGCAGCTATGTAACAAACCCCCCCTACATTTGTAATTTGCACTTTCACGATAAAGAGATTGCACTACAGTATGTGTATGAGGTGAATTGAAAAATACTACAGTAACTCGTTGCTTAACATTGTAGTTATGTTCCTGAAAAATGCAACTTTAAGTGAAACGATGTTAAGTTAATACAATTTCCCCATAAGAATTAATGTAAACAGGGGGAAAATTTTTTTCATCAGACAAAAACCTATATTATATAAATATATATATACACACATTATAAGTTTTAAATAAACAATTTAATACTGTACCCAGCAATGATGATTATGAAGCTTGGTTGAGGTGGTGAAGTCAGAGGGTGGAAGAGGGTGGAATATTTCCCAGGGAATGCCTTACTCCTAAATGATGAACTAGCATTCGACTGAGCCCTCAAGGGTTAACCCATTGTTGTTAATGTAGCCTCACACTCTGCAAGGCAGCAGGAATGGAGGGAGGGGAAACAGCATGGCAGACAGAGACCGAGACACACACCCTGTGTGAGAGAGAGAGAGAGAGAGATGCACATTGCCCCAAGCCCCCACCAGCTGGCTGCAATGGTCTGCTCTTCCTGCAAGCAGTGGACAAAGCAGGTGGCTGCCAAACAACATTATAAGGGAGCATTGAACAACTTTAAATGAGCATGTTCCCTAGTTGATCAGCAACGTAACAATGTTAACTGGGACGACTTTAAGTGAGGAGTTACTGTATATCTTTTGTTTATCATTTTTAAACTGCAAATATTTGTAATAATAATATAAAGTGAGCTCTATATACTTTGTATTCTGTGTTGTAATTGAAATCAATATATTTGAAAATGTAAAAAAACATACAAAAATATTTAATAAAGTTCAATTGGTATTGTATTGTTTAACAGTGCAATTAATCATGATTAATTTTTTAACTGTGATTAATTTTTTGAAGTAATTGGATGAGTTAACTGCGATTAATCAACAGCCCTAATAGTGAACAAAAAAAGTCAATCCACTCTTGTTTTCCTCTAAATTAGCTTGATTGTACTATGAAAGAAAGACAGAAGAGAACCATCTCCTTGGTGAAATGGAGTATGTTTATACGCACTTTAACACTGTTTAATTGTCCATACAAGAATGTTTGTTTCTTTTACTTGTGGTTTCATATCACTGGACTATAATGTAAACTTAACTATTTAAAACAGAACCTGAAGTCATATGCATTAAAATATTTTATAATCTATTTTTTCTGAGGAGGCTGTTTGAGATGGATAATCAAGTGCTTTCTGTGGATTATCTGATTACTACTGTTGAATTAAATTGATGTTTGTTCTTTTCTAGATGTGCCATCCAGTCCCTACGGAGTAAGAATTATAGAGTTGTCACAGACTATTGCCAAGGTCTCTTTCAATAAGCCAGATTCACATGGAGGTGTGCCCATTCATCATTACCAAGTGGATGTGAAAGAAGTTGCTTCAGAAACTTGGAAAGTAGTGCGCTCCCATGGAGTTCAAAGTGAGTCTGTAAAAAAGATAAAAAAAATTATTAAGATACTATCAAGGAGTAATAATATAAATTCTTGTTATCTGAGTTTGTCTCACCTATCAATATTACTTCCTGGGCCATATCCTCAGTTCTTGTAGATAGTTCTGTTGACTTCAGTGGAACTAAACCTATTTACATAAGCTGAGAATCTGGCCTTTTATAGTCTTTTAAATGTTCATTGACATTATTTCTTGGTTTTACAGAAGTCTGGTAAACAAACCTAAAGTTATTCAAAGAGTAATGATTTTGATTTATTTATTATGCCAGTTATGCAATATGAGGAACATAGTTTGCAAAGTGATCAATCACAAAGAAGGGAAATCACAGAAGAATTAAATTAAGAGTCTTGAATATGCTTCACTGTGCATTTAATTAAGAAATATTAAGAGGGCTAGTGTGTGCTATTTAAATCCTGATGATGAATTATTGATTTTAGCTACTCTATAACCTTTTATATACTAGTTAATCTTTGTTACATATGTTTTAAAACATATTTATAAAATATTAATAACTCGTATCTCTTTAGTGCTAAAATAAATGTCCTGAGATATTGCATGGTTGAGATGCTGGACAGATGGGCCAGAACTTGGCCAACCTGTGGCCACTTGGCACCACTCTGAAGACACAAAATGTCTATAAGTCTCATCTAAATAGAGTCACCTGAGGATTCCCCTGGCATCGGCAAGTCAGTTGCATGCCTAGAGGGGACAGAAGGGTGTTGGCCAGAAGGTGTTGCAGTACAGCAATCCCTCTCAGGCCCTCTCCTGCCCTTGGGTGTTGTTCTCAGCTGGTATAGGTTAGAGTAGCCCCGAGACTCCTGATTTACACAGGGGCTGAACTAATTTTCATTGTCTACAGGATTAGGGGAACACAAATGTGTCCAATCTCTCTGACTCTCACACACATGTTCTGTGTTTAGCATAGTCCAGTCAAATCAAGAGGATAGGATTAGGGGTTCAGCCCCAAATCATCTCCTTTTAATCTTTAGTATGGTATTATTATAGCTATTGAATCAGAATGTGGCTCATTTATTTTGTTGCCCAGAAATATATTATTAAGATTTTGGTCAATTTGACTGTTACAGTTAAGGGTGCACGAGATATATATTCAAACATCCTGTTTTCCCACCTCTTCACTTCATAAAACCTTCACTTGTTGGTTCTCACATTTTCCAGATTTACTTTCCTGAACCTGAATTTTTGAAAGTTTGAACACAATCTTTTTGACAGTTTTCCAGATATGAAAGGATCACACACGCATGCATGCACACACACACATTTTATATATAAAGTATACAATATTCCCATTGTAAAATATATATATTTTCACCTTTTTCAAAAGGGAATATCTTAAAATTAAAATTTTCAGACCTGGTTTGGAAATTTTCTGATGGCATATTTTTCTGTTGGAACATGCCAATTTGTCTGTGGTAGACATATTCGCAGAAATATTTCAATATTGATGAATGCTTGTTAAAAAAAAAACTGGAAAAAGGTGTTCTCATGTCATTGAAATGTTCCATTTTGACCTTTTCAGAATCAGAAATTTAAATTTTCCATTTTGAATTTATATTTGTTTCAAAGCTTTATGTTATATAATCTAAAATAAAAAAGGAAAATTGGAACAAAACATTTCAACTTTATCTAAGTGAAATGTTTTGATCAGCCCAATATATAAACATATATAATATGTTTTTAGAATTTTGTTTTACAGTCAATTTAGACCTCTTTTTTTGGTAAATTGCAGAATTCCCTGTGAAATAAAAAAATCCAGTTCCCATCCAGCTCTAACAGTTTGATTGTAAACTACAAAAATTATGAGCAGTATTGAAAAAAATAAGACATCTACTGCAGAAAATGTAATTAATTTTTCAATGGTGATCTTAAAACCAGGTGTATTGTGCAAATGTTCACAACTATCTAAGACCTGAATGGGTCTTAAGTGGTGCCTAGACCTGTGCTGGACTTTTTTTAACTGCTGAGTATTTCAGTGTAGTCAATTGAGTCTAACTAGGTATTTAAAGATTACTTTTAAAAATAGTTATTTTTCTCCCAGCTGCTGTTGGTCTCGCTGCTGCCCCAAAATTATTTTCCCACCTTAATTCCTGACAAGGTGATGCAGTAAGTCAGTGTGAGCTCTAGCGTTAAACTACAGATCTCTAAATAGGAGCTGACCTAAGCCTTCACTCAAAACCTGAACCAAATCCACCATTTTTAAAGATTCAGATAGGATTGGTTATTCTAGAGCTCTGTCTTTATCACAAATATGAAATAGCATGAAATAAAACAAACCAGTGTATAAAGTGAAAATTCACCTTTTGTAGTTGCCACAGTTTCTAGCACCACCTGCCCTTGGATGATGCTGCCAGCAGCAGGAACCAGTCTCTCTGCAGTGGCTCCATGCTCTTCTGCTCCCTGCCTCACCGCTGACAAAGAGAAGAGCCTGGCTTGGAATGGCACACCTGAGTTCCAACACTGGGTGCCAGGCTGCAACACCACTCCCCCCAATTTGATGTCAAATACGAGTGAATGACATTCTGACCTGGCACACAGGATAGCAACGGGGGCACCATTTCAGGCGAGGCTGTTCTCCTTGTTGGCGGGAAGCAGAGCCACATGGAGCTGGCTGTGGAGTTGTTGGTCCCTGTCGCTGGCAGTAGCATTCAAGGGCTGGTGATGCTAAAATGGCCCTCCAGAAGCCTGGCTCGGTAGGGAACTGAGGGTGAGGGGATGGGAGGAGCTGGTGCCACCACTGGAGCAAGGGTGCATGATCCATGCACTGCTGCCTGGTCCAGGCTGTCATGGCAGCTCCCTCTCGGGGAACCCTGTGGGGGGAAGGCGAACAGGGCTGGATGTGGGGCAGAAAGTGGATAGCAGGGCTGGATGTGGGGATTTATATATGGTGATTTCAGGTATTTTATTAATGTAAATCTAATAAAAATAAAATATTTAATGGATATAATGAAATAAAATGAATTTAAAAAAAAATAAAATGAAAAAAAGTATATCCCAGAGCTCTAGTTATTCCCATCCTTCCAATTTGCTGTTCATAATTTTCAGTGGAAATACCACAAGAGAAAAGATTGGAAGTACTACATTTCTGGCCTGATTGCAACTTTCATGATGAGACTGTGATCTTGCCAGATTTGCAGCCTGGTTTCCTGACTTAAGAAGTTTAAAAAAGTAGCTGAACAATTAGATGCATATTGTATCAGAACCACACCTTTTGAGCTTCATTAGTTCAGTTTGGAATCCAAAGTCTGAAATGTCAATGGGAAATCTGTTGCTTCTGCTGTCGCATATGTAGTGTGATACTTCTATTTTATTTCCTGTTCTCCATCTGTTTTTCATTCCTAAGTTTTAGTAGAGAAGAGAAAATAAGAGGGAGAGTCGACCTTTGGCGTTTGGTAGTAGTGTTGTTTTTATTTATTTATTTGTTTTCATTTGAACACTCTATATTGCATCAGTGTTTTGTGGAAGTTGGATAGTGTCTTGGTTGTAGTGCATTTTACCACAACATAATAGCAGTAGCAGTAGTAGTTAGCCTCAGAACTCAGAAGTTTTGCAGGTCTAGGGAAAACAAGATGTATTAAGACAATCCATTTCCTCCAGATGGCATGTGTGTGGGTGGTCTTCCTCCTCTCCCCATTCCATTTTTCCTTTTGTTTTCAAATAAGGGTGGTGCAATGAACTGAGACTAGGAGCCTCCACTGATAATTACAACACACTAAACACTCAGTGATGAAAAAAATTAAGTTGCATTGCTATGTGGAAAATTGTGATATAGGGAAATGTAATCTGGACCCTGTTACCAAAGACAATACAGTTGGCATCTGGGTGTGACATTAGCAAGATGCTTAATTTAAGCTGAGAGATAGGCTAAAGAAGAGAATGCTTTAGCATTAACTGTGTATCACAGTATGTTAAGACATCTCCCCAGAAGACTTTCTTTGAATTTTAGTCTTTGTTTTTAATGTTGGGAGTGTACAGAGATGAACTGATTACATAAAAAAGTAATTGCATTGACCGATCCTGTTATCAGTACTTCCTGGAGTTGTCTATTTGCCATGTTTTCCACTGTTTGATTTTGAAAGATTTTTGGGGGGCATTATACTTTATAGTTGATTCATGTGTTTTGAGTTAGGGGAACAAGGCTTATTGATTGCTGGGATTGCTTTAGTACAATATCTCTTTGAAGTGTACATTAATTCATTGTGAAAACTGAGAGTGAGCACAAGTACTTGCTGTTTGTGATCAGCCCCTCTGTGAACAAGACTGTGAAATTCCTTGGATCTGCATAGCCATACCACTCAACTGGTGCAATGTGGTACACAGCCCCTCAGAATGAATGGTAATATGGGACACTAAACCTCATAATGTCCCCATTTTTTTCTTGCTGTCCCCTTTTTCCCCGCTGTATTCGGTTTTTTTATTCCCTTTTCTACACAATTTCCCCTCTCTTTCCCTTAGTGTCACACTCTATTTCCTTTCAACTATCCAGCTCCACTTCCCTTGAGTCTCTTACTTTACACTCCATTCCACTGTGCGACTCTGCCCCACACTGCAACACTGAGAGGTGGGGAAATAAATCAGATTATCCTCAGATATCTCAGAAGTCGGTAATATTTGTGACTACTTCTGCTAGTAGTAACAGTTCAGAGCCCCCCTCTCCAAAACCTGAAGAATCATTTTTGAACTTCAGAGAGCCTCTGTGCTTTGTAAATAGATGAAAAATTGAATGTGTGACCATATGAGGGAGAGTTGAGTGTGCAGTTGATTAGAGTAAAAAAATCATCATGTATCCATAGTTAACAGAGGATGATATAGTAAATCATTGTTTCTGCTAGTACACTGAGGACTTTAGTAAAGATTTGTAAAATATTTTATGGCTACAGTACAGTCCTTGAAACTATTGTAAATACAGGAAACTACTGCAATATCTCTGATACCACTGGAGAAAAATGTTCATTT